AAACAAAACAAAACAAAACAAAAACATCTACAATAAAAAGAGGAGGTGGGAAAAGAAATAAAACAACAACAGCAACAACAACAAGAATACCCATCCCGAATTACTTCGTTCTTGAAACTTTTTAGTGTAAAATTCCAGGAAGTAGAAAAAGGTAATTTGCAGATAAAAGAAAACATGGAAGAGTAGGAAAGAGAAGGTTAAGAGACCCGGGTATATTGGGACAATGGATGCATCGACACCAAGGCTCTAAATAGTTGTGAATCATCAGGGGCATAGCACAACTGAGCAGGAATGTTTCTAACCCGGTACCAGGTCATATGCCCGACATTCCCGTGTCGAGTCCAGGAAAGAAGGAAATTGAAGAAATAGAAAAAGACTGAGAGAAGATGCAAAAGAAAAGTTGTACTTGCATGATAGACTCCCCATTTTATTGCTCAAAATAATCTATCTCGATCTCCTGTATAGGTCAAATAAAATTAATCTAAATAAAGTAGAGTAAATAAATTAGAGAAAAAAATACATGTATATTGAAAAATAAATAAAAGGCAGTTAAAAAATAATTATAATAATAAAGAACTAGTGAAAACTAAATGAAGTGCCAGTATGGGAGGAGATAGTAAAAATATGTAAGTGGTGTGAATTGTGGGAGATAATGATTAAACTATGTCTGAGTTAATATGTAGTTTGTGCTGAAAAAATTAATAGGAAGATTAGTTGAAAATAAAATATAAAGTGGAGTGAATGGAAGTATGTGAACACCATAAACCATTCAAAGAGTTGACTAGTACCCAAAATGGTACCCCTACTGTTAGGTACCCACCATAGCTTTGAAAAAAAAATTAAAAAAAAAAAAACAGTAGTTTCTCTAGCAACCTTTGTGGCATTACATCTTTTCTTACTAAAAAAAAAAAAAAAAAAAGAGGACAGTAGATATATCTAGCAACCTTTGTGGCATTACAGGTGTGGTATGGAATCCCTAATGAAAGGGTTCCCAAGTCTCCACTAAAATAGTGGGTAAGGTGAGGAGGGAGGATGCGTGTATACAAGGGTGTCGTGTGTATAAAAACAGAACAAAAAAGTTAGATGTTAAGATTAGCACTGATAATGAGGGACGGGCAAACTGCAGAGCAGCTATGTCTACCTCAAAGAAGTGCAAAAAATTATTTAGTAGAAAGTAATAATTGCTGAAATTTTAATAACGATAGGATTAAATAAAATATTAAAGTTGAAAAATAAAAAGAATAAGTATTGAGGGATTGGCAAACTGTCAAACAGCTATGTCAACCTCAAAAAAGAGTTAGGATAAGTATAAGAGGATGAGGGGTTAGAAGGTAAAAATAATAAGAAGGATGATAGGAATATGAAAGGGGAAAAGAGGGACCGGCAAACTGCAAAGCAGTCATGTCAACCTCTTGGAGAGTTAAAAATAAAGAAGAGAGAAGAGGAAAAGGAGGAAAAAAAAGGAAAAAAAATTATTTTAATAATAAAATGAAATGAAATAAATGATAGAATGAATGAAATAAAATAAAATAAATGAATAATAAATCCGGGTTAAACAAAGGAAAAAACAAACAAAGGAATTACTTCAATAACTTTAATGTGTGATTTTTTCTACTTCTTCAAAAATAATATCACAGTATTGCCAACAAAATATATTGAAGAGATGACAGTGCCGTAAAGTAAGTGTAACCAAACCGGGTGAACAAGACTTACCTGAAGGTCCGATTGCTGACAAAGCTGAAGAAGTTTTCAGTTCATCTCTACATCTACGCTGCTGTAATAAATCACCAGTTGCTCTACTTGCCTCAGACGCTTTTCTGTGCTTTAACTTTTTCCCAATTCCAGACAGTGGTGTGCACCTCTCTAACCGTTCAATAGTTGACGAAGCGGCATCTTGACTAACTGCGGTAGTTGCTGTAGTTTCTGTGCAAGAAGTGCAAGTAGCCTCTGTCTCCCCCAATTCCGTTTTTTTTTTTTTTTTCAGGAATCGGATATGGCAATCTCCCAGTGATATCAGTGTCACTTGAATTTTCAGTGGGTGTTCTAAGATGGTTACTTTCAGCCACTGGGTAGGATAATGTTCCAAGAGCCTTGACAGCATATGTTTTCCTTTTTCATAGTGGATCGCTCACTACCTGATTCAGGAACGCTCAAAGGTAACTTTTTAGGGTTAATAACATTAAAATAAAAATTACCCCTTCAACATACCTACTTGATAAAAAAAGATCACTAAAACAAAAAGTCTTCTTATCATTTTCGCGAAACTTTTAATAAATTAAAGTGATTAAACCGTAAGGCGCATCTTTTATTACAGGCCCTTTTAAAGTGGCTTGATAGAGTTTTTCGGCGTCAATAGGGACCTTAAGATCCGAGGACGGCGACGACAGCGAAAACGTTGCTGAAAAAGTGAATTCTTGTTCTTTCAATCTTCATCGCGATTACTCCAAGTCACTAACTTTGTCAAATGTAGGTGAACCCTGTCTAAAGTTGAATTCCTAAGAACCATATCCAAGTTCAGAAAGAGGAGGAAAATTTCGTAGTCGCTTGTGTTCTCCATCTGTACAACGGTTAGGCATTTTCAAGTCGTGGTCGTGCAGTGACGGGAGAGAAATGTACAATAAAGCGTGATGGATTTGCAAAATTGTATTAAACCTATTGCTTTTTTGACGATCTCGTTGTCGTCGCCGTCGTCGGATCTTAAGGTCCCTAATACCTCCCAAGTTTGAGCATAAACTACGTCGTCATAAACAGAGATTTGGAAACAGGGTTCCAATGACATCGGAGTTGCCATAGCAGCGAAATGACGTCATTACCTATTAGTGACGTTGTTAATGCTCAAACTTGGGAGGTATCTACCCTGAAAAACCCTATCGAGCCACCTCAAATACTTGAACAAAAGATTTTCCTACCCTTTTATGTACTAAGTATGCTTCAACTCGTCCTTCCTACCCTTTGCCCACCTACCCCTCCCCTTAGCCAACATTTTGCCCTAAGTGAGAAGTAAGTGTTAATATTGGCTTAGGGGAGGGGCTGGTGGGCAGTTAATCCCAGAAACTTATAATGATCCGCCGATACAAATTAAGCCATCGAAAGGGACCCCTGATGGGGGTAACATCCCCTCATAGGCCCGAGTTATAGAGAGTGGCCCCGGGATTTCGCTCATACTGAGAAAAATAAAAATGATTGTAACATTGTACCTGAGAGATTGAATTATAGAGCTTTTATCGTATATTTTCAATTATCCTGTAAGGGGAACGAAATAATGACGGAAGCTTATAATGACTGCAAAAAAGGCGATTTGAATAACAGTCTTCTAAAGACAGGCGACAGTACCAACCAGGACGATGTGCCAATTTCAGGTTCTGGAAGAAACAGTTTTGCGGAAGAAACAACTATGCAACTGAGCAAACAGCGTAAAAGCTCAATTAGCCTTGCAATTTTTACTTGCTAATTAACAGCGACGGTCAGGAAATATCGACCATCGAGTGGCAAGAGTTGAAAAATCGACTGCCTTCAATTTTTTGTCCATAAATAGCTTTTAGGTAGATAAGTAATCTGATGTAAGTTGTTCTCGCAAAAAGCCTTTTACTTTAGAGAAAAGTGAGAATATCAGTTTTCGTGGTCGTAGACTCAATATTGCCGTATTTTCAACCCGAAATTTGCTAATATCAACTCTCCTCGTGTTCGCAAATAAAGCCGCAAGGAGAAATTTGGACACTTTCCTTCAATAGAACAACTTTTTCTCTAGAAGATACTTTCAAAGCAATATCAAGACTCGTTGAACAAACATAATTCAGAAACGAAGGACAGGTTTTTTACGGTGACAAAAACTTTAATTTAGTAGTTGTTTTCTGCGGCATTTTTCTTCATGTGGTATAGCTTCAAATTTTCCCGGTCCTCGTTTATTCACACATTTAGACATTCATCTAAAGCATACCTGAGAATTGGCTTGGGTTCCTTTAGGCAGCCTCCAAACGAAAGCATCAAAGTCCGGCAAAAATAGTGAAGCGTGACCAAAATAACTTAGTTAACGGCTCCAAGTTTCATCGAACGTAAAGTAAGAAGACGAAATATCTTCCTGTTCGGTCATCCTTAGCGAATTACCATTGTTGAAGTCCATATTTTTTCGATGAAAAGTGAGTACCAGTACCTATTTATTCACCTGGGCTAAGAGAGGCAACTACAATAATTATAGTATTAATAATTATTTATTACAGTGTATTTCCTAATAGTTGCTGCCCTAAGTACATTCAATTGATCATAATTAGAATAATATTAATAAAAATGTACATAAGCTCTAGCTTTAAGAAACTATATTATACAAACTCTATCTAGAAAAAAATATCAAGATAATGTCAATCAAAACACCAGGCATTGCTTGAATTAAGCGTGTGTAACGCGATACACGTCACCGGCTGCAAAACAAGTTTGCTTTGGACCAGTACAATGCGCAACAATTACTGTACAGATTTTCTTTCAAAAGAAAAAGACCTTTCTGCAACAAAACTACTTCTCTTTGTAACGATACATGCCATCATTTAGAATTTTGCCGCTTCTTTTAGTTGCAATATGCGAAACCCGATTCTTGACAATGGTGCCTTTTCAAAGCCCATTTTTCTTCAGGAGGAGAAGGAACAGAGCAAATGTTGACACTACAAATGCTAAAAAACGCCAGGAGAAATAAAAAACAAAAGATATTCAAAATGGGGGAGGGAATGGGGAGTGTATAGGGTGCATAAAAGGTGTGTTATTGGAGATGTGTCATTGACTGAATTTATCGGAAGATATCCATACTGCCAATATTGGATATTCATTAGGGAAAGGTATTATGGGGCGCGGGAACGCTTATTTGAATGGGGTGCTTTTAAATCGCTCAAATACTTGGATTTTAAAAAACTTAGCCTATAAACAAATAAATGACTCGCAAAGATACCAAAGTAAGGTATAATTATTAGTTCTGGTGGAATAGGTAGAAGTTCCTCAGTGTATTGGTGCTATTCTTACACAATGCAACATTTGTTACGAGTTTGATTAAGTTGTCTTTGTTTCCTTTTAACGAATCTTAAGTTGTTGAAAGTTCTTTTCACAGCAGCATGCTGCTCGCCATACAACGTTTTATAAATGTTCAGAGCCTTTTCATAGCATTCTTGAGAAACAGGGTACTGTTTAACGCTGCAATAGGTATTGCCAAGGTTGAAGTAACTTTTCGCTACAGAGAAATGCTCCTCGCCGAAAATAATTTTTTTAATGGCGAGAGACTTCTCATGGTATTTTTTAGCCCGATTGTACTGACCAAGGTGACCGTAAACAGTTCCCAGGTTGTTGTAACTTCTCGGTACGGCACCATGGTGCTCACCATAATTCTCTTTTCTAATAGCAAGAGACTTCTCATAGTATTCTTTAGCCTGATTGTACTGACCAAGGTCACTGTAAACAGTTCCCAGGTTGCTGTAACTTGTCGCTAGGTCACCATGGTGTTCATCATAAATCTCTTTTCTGATGGCAAGAGACTTCTCATAGTATTCTTTAGCCTCATTGTACTGACCAAGGTCACTGCAAACAGTTCCCAGGTTATTGTAACTTCTCGCTACGGCACAATGTTGTTCACCATAAATCTCTTTTCTAGTGGCAAGAGACTTCTCATGGTATTCTTTAGCCTGATTGTACTGACCAAGGCGACTGAAAACAGTTCCCAGGTTGCTGTAACTTGTCGCTACGTCACCATGGTGTTCACCATAAATCTCTTTTCTGATGGCAAGAGACTTCTCATAGTATTCTTTAGCTTGATTGTACTGACCAAAGTCACTGTAAACAGTTCCCAGGTGGTTGTAACTTGTCGCTACGTCACCATGGTGTTCACCGTAAATCTCTTTTCTGATGGCCAGAGACTTCTCGTAGTATTGTTTAGCCTGATTGTACTGATCAAGGTGACTGTAAACGGTTCCCAGGTTGTTGAAACTTGTCGCTACGTCACCATGGTGTTCACCATAAATCTCTTTTCTGATGGCAAGAGACTTCTCATAGTATTCTTTAGCCTGGTTGTACTGACCAAGGTCACTGTAAACAGTTCCCAGGTTGTTGTAACTTGTCGCTACGTTGTCATGGTGTTCACCATAAATCTCCTTCCTGATGGCAAGAGACTTCTCGTAGTATTCTTTAGCCTGATTGTACTGACCAAGGGCACTGTAAACAGTTCCCAGGCTGTTGTAACTTGCCGCGACCTGACCATGGTGTTCACCATAAATCTCTTTTCTGATGACAAGAGACTTCTCATAGTATTCTTTAGCCTGATTATACTGACCAAGGTCACTGTAAACAGTTCCCAGGCTGTTGTAACTTGCCGCGACCTGACCATGGTGTTCACCATATATCTCTTTTCTGATTACAAGAGACTGCTCATAGTATTTTTTAGCCTGCTTGTGCTGATTAAGCTCACTGTAAACAGTTGCCAGGTTGTTGTAACTTGTCGCCACGTCGCCATTGTGTTCACCATAAATCTCTTTGTTGATGGCAAGAGACTTCTCATAGTCTTCCTTAGCCTGATTATACTGACCAAGGTCACTGTAAACAGTTCCCAGGTTGTTGTAACTTGTCGCTACGCTACCATGGTGTTCACCATAAATCTCTTTACTGATGGTTAGAGACTTCTCATGGTATTCTTTAGCCTGATTGTGCTGATTAAGGTCACTGTAAACAGTTCCCAGGTTGTTGTAACTTGTCGCTACGGCACAGTGGTGTTCACCATAAATCTCTTTTTTAATAGCAAGAGACTTCTCATGGTATTCTTTAGCTTGATAGTACTGACCAAGGTGACTGTAAACGGTTCCCAGGTTGTTGTAACTTGTCGCTACGTCACCATGGTGTTCACCATAAATCTCTTTTCTGATGGCAAGAGACTTCTCATAGTATTCTTTAGCCTCATTGTACTGACCAAGGTCACTGTAAACAGTTCCCAGGTTGTTGTAACTTGTCGCTACGTTGTCATGGTGTTCACCATAAATCTCGTTTCTGATGCCAAGAGACTTCTCATAGTATTCCTTAGCCTGATTGTACTGACCAAGGTCACTGTAAACAGTTCCCAGGTGATTGTAACTTGTCGCTACGTCACCATGGTGTTCACCATAAATCTCTTTTCTGATGGCAAGAGACTTCTCAAAGTATTTTTTAGCCTGATTGTACTGACCAAGGTCACTGTAAACAGTTCCCAGGTTGTTGTAACTTGTCGCTACGTCACCATTGTGGTCGCCATAAATCTCTTTATTGATGGCAAGAGACTTCTGATAGTATTGTCTAGCCTGATTATACTGACCAAGGTGACTGTAAACAGTTCCCAGGTTGTTGTAACTTGCCGCTACCTGACCATGGTGTTCACCATAAATCTCTTTTCTGATGGCAAGAGACTTCTCATAGGATTCTTTCGCCTGATTGTGCTGATTAAGTTCACTGTAAACAGTTGCCAGGTTGTTGTAACTTGTCGCTACGTCACCATTGAGTCCACCATAAATCTCTTTATTGATGGCAAGAGACTTCTCATAGTATTCTTTAGCCTGATTATACTGACCAAGGTGACTGTAAACAAGTCCCAGGTTGTTGTAACTTCTCGCTACGGCACCATGGTGTTCACCATAAATCTCTTTACTGATGGCAAGAGATTTCTGATGGTATTCTTTAGCCTGATTGTGCTGATTAAGGTCACTGTAAACAGTTCCCAGGTTGTTGTAACTTGTCGCTACGGCACTGTGGTGTTCACCATAAATCTCTTTTTTAATAGCAAGAGACTTCTCATGGTATTCTTTAGCATGATTGTACTGACCAAGGTCACTATATACAGTTCCCAGGTTGTTGTAGTTTGCCGCTACGTCACCGTGGTGTTCACCATAAATCTCTTTTCTGATCGCAAGAGACTTCTCATGGCATTCTATGGCCTGATTGTACTGACCAAGGTCACTGTAAACAGTTCCCAGGTTCTTGTAACTTGTCGCTACGTCACTGCTGTGTTCACCATAAATTTTTTTTCCAATGGCAAGAGACTGCTCATAGTATTCTTTAGCCTGATTATACTGACCAAGGTGACTGTAAACAGTTCCCAGGTTATTATAACTTGCCGCTACCTGACCATGGTGTTCACCATAAATCTCTTTTCTGATGGCAAGAGACTTCTCATAGTATTCTTTAGCCTGATTGTGCTGATTAAGTTGACTGTAAACAGTTGCCAGGTTGTTGTAACTTGTCGCTACGCCACCATGGTTTTCACCATAAATCTCTTTCCTGATGGCAAGAGACTTCTTATGGTATTCTTTAGCCTGATTGTGCTGATTAAGGTCACTGTAAATAGTTCCCAGGTTGTTGTAACTTCTCGCTACGGCAGCATGGTGTTCCCCTAAAATCTCTTTTCGGATGGCAAGAGACTTCTCATGGTATTCTATAGCCTGATTGTGCTGACAAAGGTCACTGTAAACAGTTGCCAGGTTGTTGTAACTTGTCGCTACGTCACCATGGTGTTCACCATAAATCTCTTTTTTAATGGCAAGAGACTTCTCATAGTATTCTTTAGCCTGATTGTACTGACCAAGGGCGCTGTAAACATTTCCGAGGTTGTTGTAACTTGCCGCTACGGCATCATGGTGTTCACCGTAACTCTCTTTTCTAATAGCAAGAGACTTCTCCTGGTATTCTTTAGCCTGATTGTACAGACCAAGGTCGCTATAAACAGTTTCCAGGTTGTTGTAACTTGCCGCTACGGCACCATGGTGTTCACCATAAATCTCTTTTTTAATGGCAAGAGACTTCTCATAGTATTCTTTAGCTTGATTAATCTGGTGAAGATCCTTGGAAACAAGGCCTTGCACTTGAAAATAATTCGCCTTTTCCAGCTTATCTGTTAGGTCGTCATCAAGATAATTTACAAAATCAGAGCATAATGTACAAAAGAGGTGAGCGTCCGATATATTACTTAAGTCGCGACTGACTTCAGCAGTTGAGGAAAGCCAGGATATTAAATTTCTAGGTGCTATGGAGCGGAATAATTCATTATTTGTTAATTCTGTGTCGGTAAAATTGGTCTTGAAATGTTGATATAACGCTTTACAATGTCTGGTAGTTAGTCTTAACTTGATGCACGTACTCTCACTTGCAAGTAGTAGCTTCTTGTTGTCTTCAATTAATGAACTGAAAATCTTAACAGCGACAGAAAAGTACTCAGCTTTATGTGTGCGGTTCAGGAGTGATGTTACAGTGGACTTAAGCACTTCATGAACAACGTTATGTACTCTTAAGTAAGTGGGTGTTCCGTCAACATCATACAAGCAAGTTATCATGGTGGATTCCAGAATTTTAGCTCTGATAAATTCTTCTTTTTGTTGTTTGTTACGAAATTTAACAAAGTCAACTGCAGCCTCAATAGGTAGAGAATCAAATGCGCACAGCGAAAACAAACAAAATACTTCAAAAAGAACTTTGTCGCTTTCCAAAGCTCGAGTTATTGCCATTCTGATTGCAGTAGCCGTTGTTTTGGGATATGCTCTGTTTTTTTTCGCGAAAAGCTCTTCTCTGGCTTCGCGTTCCTCGCTATTCAATGTTTCCAGGTATTTTGTCCAACCATAATTAGGGGTACCATAGCTGACAATTGTTTGCACGTAGACTGCAGCAGCTGCCAAGGCAAGTGGCTGATACTCGAGAACTTCAGCAACCTCCTCAGCTTGTTGTTGATTCGAAATTTGGGACACTTCCCTTAAAAGGTCTACTGCATCATCTGGGTGCATTCCTTTACTGAGAGACTCATGGTAAGTATAAGGAGAATTGAAGGGTATGGACTGGGTATCTTGAGTGGTTACTATCATTTGACCATGACCCCACTCTTCACTGGCGGTTGGAGGCAGATAACTACGAACCATGGATAGGTCAACAACATTATCTACAATAATCAGCCAGGCAGAAAATTGTTTCACCTTTGGAGAAATAAAACGCATCAAATGTTGAATTTTTTCACTTGAGTCGACCTTCGTGGAGGTTGCCAGGTTGGTCAGAGCGTATTCCGTAACTCCCAGTTGTTTAGCTAGATTGAAATAGGAGTCGGCAAGTGAGTCAAGGGTTTCTGCATTCAGAGTTGAAACAAAAGTTAGACCTTCGTCTTCTCGCAAACTTTTGTCGTACACTTCCTGTCCCACTTGACGAGCAAATTGACTTTTGCCACAGCCCGGAATTCCTGATAAATAAATGGTGCTGATAGCTCCTTTGCTTTCATTATAAAGTTCCTCCAGCTTGATCTTGATTCTTGTGACATCGTTGGAACGTCTGATGATTTGGTGCGGTGGCTTGAATGTAAGACTACAGAAAGACTCGACTTTGGAATTGATTTCCTGAGTGAGGGTTTCTACTTCTTCCTGCTTGGTCTGTAATGTGTCTTGGGTCAATTGTAAGTCGGAGTTTAGATTTTTAACTTCTTCATTTTTCGCTTTTAAATCAGCTTTAAGTCCATCAGCCTTTAACTTTAAGCTTTTTACTTCTGCTGTGGGAAAGCTGCTCTGGTTTTTAACATCCTCGATTTCATCAGTTGAGAGGTTCAAAGATGTGAATGCAGCTATCATTCTTGCTACATAATTTTGGAATTCAGCATCAGTAAGTTCAACCTCGTTTATGTGAGCGATGTCGTTTCGCACCTGTCGAAGAACGTCCACCTCTTTTCTGATCGTCGAACTCAGAGTGGTGCCAATACTATCCGAGAACAATATCGCAAAAAGTAGACAACTGCAGTCCCACTCTGCTGTGTTTCCCTTTTGTATTGTCGCAAAATATCGAGCATTCTTTTTGCGACTTTTCCCCGTTTCGTTGTTGTAGAAATCGCTGCCATTTTGTGGAATGTCTTTCCATTCCCCAAATGGGGTTGTCATGTAAAGGAAATTCCACTCTTGTTTGAAAACTTTCCGAAGTCCTTCGGGGACCAAGTTGAAGGCGATATAACATATTCTAAAATAGTTTAACTGTTGTGGAGTATATTCCATTTTGAATTGTGATCTAGTAAAAAGATTAGCGAAAGAATAAAATCAGACTAAAAACCGCTACCCACTCCAAAGAAATCCTACATCGAAGCCCTCCCAACCCCCCCCCCCCTTACTCATTGACTGATTTTTCGCCTTCGTCATGCATGAAACAAAAGGGTGGAGCAAAATATCGGCAACAAAAATTTACTTACGCTTTGTTAGCCTATAGCTTCTTGAAATTGTAGAAATGAGTTTGTTGGCCTGTTAGCCTGTGGGAAAGAATAGTGAAAGCCTTTTAGAATGAAAAACTGAAGGGAAAACGCCCTTCAATATTAAGTTTACCTTGTCTCCGCCCAATCCGCCGATGTTAATGCTCATTAATCTAATTCATTTGTAGCTTGGGTGATAGCCGTCACACTCCGGATACCCTGCGAGCAGAGGCTAGATTTTCGCGGTATGATGTGGCGTGCGAAAAGTAGCCTCTGCCGACAACTGTTTAAATCCTTCCAGAAACCTGGACAAATAAATCTAAAAAACGGGTTTTTATCTGTTCTCGACCGGTTTAGCCTTGCGTCAGTTATAATAGGATGCTTTCTGGAACACAATTCCACCTACTCTTTCCTGGTTATGCCTATCATTTCCCCAGTCATCCGGCCTTAAAATTTCCCTGTTTAATTTCTGTCATTAATTTTGTACTTTTTCTCAATAAATGCACTAAAGCAAAATTTTTTAATTCAATAATTTTATGTTTTGCCATGATACTCTTCTGTCACTACGTAAAAGTCTACTAAATTCCTGGTTATTTCCCTCATTTCTAATGTAATACTTTGCATCATTTTTGTTAAAATAAGGTGAAAGTCTAACAAAGTTGACATATTAAAGTGGGAAATGTTAATGAAGCCGACTACTTAATGGCTCGCTCGCTCGCGGAATAACCAGGAAAGAGTAGCTGGAATTGTGTTCCAGAAATCATCCTGTTATAACTACTATAAGTGAAGTGGGGGTATTGTCTAATCAAAGATAAAAAGATGATGATGCAAGAAGTCTTAGAAGATTTGAATAACGAGCTTGGTGAAATTAACGATGATATTGTACCAGAGGAAAAAGAGGAATCAACAAAGAATGTTTTTACAGGAAAAGATTTTAAAAAACTAACCAAAAAGGCTAAAAAACTTGGTGCTAAATCTCTTGACTATTCATCTCGTAAAAATAATAAATATGTAGCGACTCTCCCAGATGGAAAGAAAGTGCATTTTGGCTCGCTAAAATATCCTGATTATCTTATTTATCAAGATGATGCTAAAAAAGAGAGATATCTAGCAAGAGCAAAAAAGATTCGAAATAAAGCTGGGAATACACCTGGGAAAGTCCCGAGTCATCTAATTGTTGGAGTACGAGACTTTTATGGTCTGGAAAATAATCTAATTATAGATTAAAAAAAAAACGTTTAGCGAGCTGAGTGAAAGAGATAAAAGAGTTATTGATCATCTTAATAAACTAGATTTTGAATTTAACAAATTATATGATTCATATATGCTAATTCCTCATTATAGTGAACATGAGAAAAGTAGTATTGAAGGGATAATTGATGCTTTTAACGACAGGGTTTATATTATGCAGAGAGATACAGAGGATATTAAATTTATTAAAAACCAAAATGTTTTCTTTCACAGTAATTTTTAGAGAAGATTAACAAAGAAGAAAAAAAATTGAATTGTGGTTTAAAGATTATCTAAATATTAATAAGAATGTAATCAACAAGTTACGAAGATCTAACCCCCGACAACTTTATCTTTAAGGAATCAAAGGATTACAAAGTTACGGATTCAAAAATCATGTATAAACGTATACAAATTGAAACCAAATATCCAAATGGTAAGAAAGGTAATTTGATAATCGAGACGCCGCTTCTTTTTAGTTTTGGCGTTAATGAAAAGAAGAACCAAGAAACAAACAGGTTAGTTGGTTATAGTATCCCAGTTTGCCTTTGGAATAAAGATAGTGAGCCAAATCCTCAAGAAAAAGCATTTTTTGAAGTCTTAAGTAATATCGTGGGAATCTGCCAGAATCATCTAGAGAATGAATATGGTGCAGATATGGCATCATCTCTGTCTTCGCCTTTTATTTCAAACAGGTTGAGTATATAGACAAAAAAGGAAATCAAAGGCTCCTAGGAGCGAGCTCGTGGATGAATTGATCGATTAGTGTAGAAAAGACAGTTCAATAATCAAAGAAAAACATATAAATCTTTTTGGACGCTTCATTGTGTACGGACTTGCCAAATTACAGCGTGACTCGAAAATATTCTAGAAACTTGTTATCAGCGCAGCATTTCTACTTGTAACGCAAGGATCACTTAAAGCAAGTATTAGCGCTTTAATTGTTAGTTGTAAAATAATTAGATATGTCCAGGATCGATCTTGTTAGCAAAAATTTGCGAGCACATTTTTTTGATGTGACTGTGAAACACTTTCCGAACGATACTGCACTTTCTTGTAATATAGCTAAATTTTATATAAGCCCGAGTTTTATTTAAACCGTGGTTTTAAACAATTATTTTAATGGACCTCGAACTGGTTTCCTATAAGTGCGATGCTTTTAAATAAATGTTTCCATATGCTGTTCATAAAGACCAAGTAACATGGTTTGTTTTTGTAGCACGATCAAGCTATTAATGACAGAATACAGGCGTTTATGGTTAAATTAAACTGCTTTAGAACGCGCTTTTGCTAAACACTAGCTAAAAATTATTTTCATCAAACGGACTAAGCTCGAAGCTGTACGTGCTCTGACCCCAAGCTAAGTAATTTAAACGCAGTCGAAGTATCCGATTGCCTTTCTCTACCTGAATATTCTAGAAACTTGTTAATACCAGCGCAGCGTTTCACTGCACAAATTACATTAATAGCACTGAAAAATGGAATCATCGACAAACAAAAGCCTGCTGGGGAAAGATCACCTAAGAATTCAAGCAAAAAAGCGTAACGCTTGTTGGTTCTAAAACCTGTGCTTCCAGTTAACACAACATTATTTCATTTCCGCAATAGACCACAATACATACTTCTCAATGTCGCTTTAACACTTCGAGGACCGTTTTTTTTTCGCTGCTATAAAGGCTCTTTGGCGTATTCGCTTTTCGCTGAACGAAATCCCATGGCGATCGTCAGGCTGCTATAGCTCTTTCACACTCCTGGCGATCACATCTTCTCCTTATCAAGTTATATCGGGAACAAATGTGCACAATTTGTCCAAATGTACATCAATGATGCACGATCAATTATTTCAATGTCCTTTTAACAATTCCAAGTCCATTTCTTGCAGATGATATTGTCAGTGTTCTTTAGATTAAACGGCTTGCAAACTAAAATTTGATAGCATTTTGTTTTGAATAAGGGTATGGGCATGATTTTCAGTTGAACATGCCTAGCGAGCGTAAAAATCGCATCCAGTCTGAGGATTAATGAGAGAGGGAAAATTTTATATATTTAGGCATGACAAAATTCAAGGGAACATTGGTACTTAGAAATAACATCTCATAGGCATGGAAAAAATGGATTCATGCCCTCGCAGCCCAAAATTGACCCAGCTAAACTTAGGTCCCAGATCTCTCACCGGGTTGATAATCCATTCCCAGTTTTTGCTCCTCTGGTTTTGCATGCCGGGCATGCCGATGGTGAAGCCACTTGGTTTGGCATGCCCGGCATGACAGGCAAGAAATTGGCATGCCCAGCGAGACTGATTTTGATGTTCGCTTCAGCATCATATCCTGAGAATCACATATAATCGCCAAATATATCTTAGGGAGCTTAAAGTTACAGGTTTCATGCCTGGCAATAAATGCAGATTATAACAAAAAAAGTCATGTTTGTCACAATGTGTGTCACGGGATCGACTGGCAAAACTGAAGACAGAAGCCTGGATTTATAAATAAAAAGTTCAACAAAAACAACATTATTCATGCATAAAATAGAATACATAACTTGCAATCAAAGATTAATCCTTTTATTTCAAACCGATATTGACATTTCTGGGTCCAGATTTAAATTTGATCGCGGAAAAGCGTCTTAAACAATAAGATAACAAATCTTCTCAGTATAAACTTATCCCCTATCGCGTCCGAAAGTTTCCCGGTCAACAGCATTAAAAGACTGGTGAAAATTAGGCTTACCAGGTCGTTCAAGTCAGTACAAGAGTACGACGTTAATACTGCAAAGACGTTCTGCTTTGGTGAATTTGGACTGCCTTCTCAGAGAGATTTTGCTTAGTTTTTCAGTGCGCTCCTTGTCGGCTACGCGAATCTCGCAAACTGTTTTACTCCTTGCTGACGATAGCCCTTTGAGCAACGTCATCTGCGTCATCCGAAGATACCCCGAGCACGCACGAAATCGACCGAATTTCCGCAGAAGTGTTTTCGGATGACGATGAATCTAGTTTGTTGTAGCATGGCAGTTGTGGCGTCACGATGTCGTCATGTCTCTTCGCACTTGTTTAGTTTGTCTTTTTTTTTCTGCGGTGCATGGTTGAGATGTTAGTGAATGCTGGACAAGAAATGGATTCTGCGAGAGACTGTAAGTACAAATTTAGTATTAATTTGGTAACGAAAAAGCCTGAATATCGAACAAATCCCGTGAATTAGCCTTTTGGCATTCAGTTTATCTTGCTGTTGAGCATGCCTAAGAACTCCGGCATAAGTGGTTGTCAACTCGTTCACTTCGGATTGTTTCTGTTTGTATGTCTTGTAATCTTCTTCTGCTTTAAGAAGACTAGAGAAAACTTCAAAAATAAGACGCCAAAGATAAAAAAAGTCAGATCTAATTTTATAGCTCGAGTATAATTATTTTTGTCACCTACGGTCATATTTTTTCACTGTACTGGTAAAGTTACTTATTTTTGCTGCATAGTTTGACGGGTGTATGTAAATGGAGGAACCTGCCCGGAACCGCCCGGAACCGCCCGGAACCCCCGGAACCGCCCGGAACCAACCGGAACCCCCCGGAACCTGCCCGGAACCTACCCGGAAC